TACATGTAGTCTTCAACTTAAAACCATTCATTTAGTGACCATTTGAAGCTACAAGGACACTGAAAAAAGTAATTATGACCATTTTTCACATTTACAATTGTTGCAGCATCCCCATGGTCATGTGATCAAAATTCAAGTGCTTGGCAACTGATTCATATTTATGACAGTTGCAGTATCCTGGGTCAATTTGTGACCTGACAAGCAAAGTCAATGGGGAAGCCAGATTCACTTAACAACCATGTTAGTAATTTAATGACTGTAGTGATTCACTTAACAACTGTGGCATGAAAGATCATAAAATGGGGCAAAACTCACTTAACTATCTTGCTTACCACAGAAATTTTGGGCTTAATTGTGGTTGTAAGTTGAGGACTACCTGTACTATGAATACTATATGAAAGTTACAACATACCTGAAATTCTGCAGAAGTGTTGCCAAAGTCCTTGAAATTTGTCTGTTTCCAACATAAGAATTCATAAACATTTCTAGAACTATTTTATGTAGTTCATTCAGAAACATATTCTAACATTATTAATTTGTTTAATTTTCCAACAGCCTGATTCTGAAGTAGCTGATGCTGGAATGAAACTAAGTTTGTATTTTGAGAATCTTTTGAAGAACCTTTTTTCAGAGAGAAAATTTTCTGTTCAGCCTTATTGCCATTCTGCTAAAAGTAGTTCAAGCCCAACAGATGACTCAGATGATGAATTTGTGCAACCCCGGAAAAAACGCCTTAAGTGGGAAGAGCACCATTTTTTTTAAGTAAGCTGCTTATATGTACTCTTAAGCATTTTTTACTTAAATATTTATCAATTTTTCATTTTCTAAAAATAATTTTTGACATCGTTGATTTCTACATATAAGGGGCACTTAACTGGAAGCAATACCAGGGGAATACCTTCCCCTGTTGATATAAATTTACCGTGTTTGTTTGGAAATAAATTATACTCTCAGTCCAGGGAAAACTAGGATGTTTTGGGAGGAAAAAAATTAAAAACAACTAGTTAAATTAGAATTGGGAGCTTTAAGAAAATGAGGTCTTTGAAAAAATTAAAATTACAAAAGCCATTTGACTGGCCAAAATTATAATTCTTTACAATTTTATTGTACTTAAACGTTAGTCATTGGAGGGAAGAAGAGCTCATGGTTTCCTATTGTCCCAAGTTTCTGAGAAGTACAATGAAACTGTAGTTTCCCCAGATAATGATTTGTGCCCTAAAATGTAAAGTGGGGAGATGAATTAAAGTTCTTTGAAAACTTATGCCTTTGTGTCTTTATGTGATCATATGAAGAGAAATCTTAATGTAACATTGGCTGGAAAACTTAATCCATGATAATTGATGCATTGGTAGATATGGTAGGAGAGGGAAAGGGACCTGGTGCTTTTTACTATTGTTTCATTCTACCCGCTATACTTTGTCCAGAGCTTGGTCTCTGGAATCTCAGATGCCCTGGACTCTGGCTGTTGCTGCTGAATGCCTAGCCAGCCTGTAATGAAGCCTGCCTCATATATAATTTGAGGGGGCTAACCAGGTAAGTATCACCAAGACGTTTGGTGCAGGAGTACTTTCATCTCAGAAACATGCCATAATGGGTTTGAGAAGCAGAGATAGGGGTGGGGTGGTTATCATTCAGTAGGCTGTAGTGACCTTTTACTTCCCTAGATATAGATAGATGTAAGACACTTTGTGAAACTGAAGTCTAATTCCCAGCAGATGTCACATATGAATCTGTTTTTGTTTCAGGGCAATGGCAAAGTGATCTGAAGTTGTGCAATAATAATGGATCACACCTTGGCCCTAGAGTTCTCTGTAACTGCTTCCCAGTTCAGAAAGGTTGGTCCTGCTTGCATGGCCTGTCCAAAACAATTGATGGAGTGATTGGATCGTGCCTTTGTGGGCTTCCTGTGGTTATGGCTACCCGATATACAAAGGAATTTTAGGAGATAAACAAAAGAAGAGATACATAACACATCATTAAAGATAAATGACAAAGATGACCAAGTAAAGTGAAGAGCAAAAAAGCACGCTTACTTTTCCACTCTTACTGTATCTGAAGATGGTGTTTGGGGTAACAGGTCCCTTCTGAATAAGAGACCAAAGGTGAGCCCTTTCAGGGCCCCTGGGAGGACAAAGTCTGTCAACCCTGGCAGGATGAAGTAGTTTTGATTTTTTGGCCCCTTGAAGTGGGGTGAGTTGTCATTGTTGATAAGGGAATACTTTCTCAGAATTGAAATATTATCAAGGAGTGCTCCTGGACTCAGTTGCTGCTGAAGGAATAGGTGGTAGCCATGACTAGGAGGCCTTTGCACAAATTCATTTTGTGTGTCAATTGCACCCATTTCTGGACTAGGAAGCCTTGCTTATGGTCATTCATGTCTTAGACACTTACCTGTTGTATTAAAGTCTATATATAGAGCATCAACCCAAAATTTTGCCTATTCCTAAACTGATACGGAAAGCAATTTATCCATCTCAAGCCATAGGATAATTATAATCAAGGAAGGGAAATGAAGCATTATCCTCCCATCTTAACCATTTTTCTCATTTGAATTTCTTCACATTCTTCTTATTTTCACTTCAGATAATGGCAAGAATATGTTTAAGCTTCTCTATGTTACTTGTTTAAATTAATTTTAGATTATCATTTCTCTGAAAGAATATCATCCTGAGTATCGAAACCACTGGCAGAGATCCACCAGAAGGTTTCAGTATATATAGCTTAATAGATTATCCTGAGGTTCTTATTTCTGCTATTTTCTAAAATTGTATAGAAAGAATTAAGAAAATACAAAAGAAACAACAAAGAAGCCATTGCACAGCTAACTCAAATACTGAAATATAGAGATCTTAAGCAGTTAGTAATCTGAAGATAAAAACTATGAGATTTAAACATGTTCCAAATTTTATACTCACTAATTCAACAGACAGCTCTGATGTACAAACAAAATTTATTGAAAATGTGTTTGCAAAGGCAGGCCTTCACATTTCTTCCCAAGTAGATTGAGATCATGAAGCGCAAAATCCCATACTCAATCAAAACATTTTATACCCTCTACACAATGCACATCATGCCTAAGAAGCCCTCCCCATTCCCCTCATTATCTCTGAGTCATACTATAAGCTAAGCGATCGACTTGACAATTTCTTCAAGACAACAGATATCTTGTTTACTTGTAGCTTCACCTTGGACCTATGTTCCTATCTTATTTACCTGTGGCCTTGCCTTGGGGGGATGTTCCTGTTTTCCAAGAAGATTGTAGCAAGTCATCACATACTATTTAACTGAATATACTCGGGGGTTAATATACAAGAAGAGCATCATAGTTTAATAATACACTAGATACTTTTATAAAAGAGTAACTTATTTCCTTCAAAACCATTAATTAGCTACATCTCAAGGAATGAAATTTTTATTTGTCTTATCAGTGGAATTGAATAGCATATTCAGCTTCATGTAGTGGAATAAAGAAAGATGCAATATTTGACAGCAAATATGACTTTATGCTAGGCATATTTATAAAAATCTATGTAAGATTCACTTTATTTAGCTGATCAATACAGAAATTTGTTTCAGACAATGGAAACAAAGTTAATAAAACTGTAAAACATTCAGATACTTTTTATAACAAATTGAGAAAAGTGTGATCATTGCAAAAAGAAACTTGTAAGCAAAAACTGATCCAAGAGACTGAAGAAATATTTCAGTAGTGGGTTATTTAATACAATGCAAGTTTCTGTTCTATCCGCTCAATATGCACAAAATTTCAGATGTGGAAAGATTTGAGGGAGTAATTGTTATATATACCCTGGGAAGGGGAAGGAAAGGAAAAAGGAAAGGAATTGTCACAGGTATGCAGATTAATATAGAAAACTCCCATTTCATGCAGATGTGAACAAAACATGCATGCACATGCTAGCTCAAGCTGACATTGTGGTTTTCCTGTTTCTGTTATTTGGACCTGACTATGTGATGCACTTGAAAGTCTGGTGATAACTTTTAAACTTTGCTTTAAACAGAGATATTTTAATTATATTGATTATATATAGGAAGTAACTCAGTTTAACCTTGAAAACACATTTTCAGAATTGTTAATTGGCCACACAAGATTCAAGCAACCAATGTCTTCTTCCTCTTCCAAGAATTAATGTTCACTTTCTTTGCTGAAAAGGTTTTAAAAACAACAGATTTTAATTATTTTGTATAAGTCATTTGTTGCAATGAAACTTTACAATGTTAACTAATATTTTAATCTTAAATTTAAAAAGGTGATACTTTTAAATTACTCTGATGGCTAACTGTTCTGAAGCAATAATTCATGAAGGCTTGCATCAGAATATTCCTTTCCATTTTTTTAACTGCAGTGCTATAAAAACGTATTTTTCGGAGTATAAGACCCACTTTTTCAACCCCCAAAGTGGATGGAAATGTTTCTGCGTTTTAAACAGCGAATGCTGCTGAAGGCCCTTCTCCTTGCGAGCCCCCACCCTTTCATCTCTGCTTCCCAGCAATTTGCCTCCTTGCAGCAAACAGCCTGTTTCAGTTTCAGCAGTCTGATTAGCATAAGCAACTGATTGTTGGTTGGATCAGCCTCCGATGATCAGCTGTTTTAGGCTGCAGGGATTGCCATTGCCTATTGCCGCCTCCATGCGCCCCATTTTTGGCCTCTGCACACCCCATTTTTGGCCTCCGCGTGTCCCATTTTCTGCCCATTTCAATCCCCACCGCCGAGAACAGGTGGAAAATGGGGCACGCGGAGGCCGAAAATGGGGTGTGCAGAGGCTGAAAAGGGGATGCAGAGGCCGAAAATGGGGCGTGTGGAGGCGGCAATAGCAATCCCTGCAGCCTGAAACAGCTGGTCGTTGGGAGGCCTATCCAACCGACAATCAGCTGCTTGTTCCAATCAGACTGTGCTGAAACTGAAACTTGCTGTTTGCTGCAAGGAGGCAAATTGCTGGGAGACAGAGGCAGATTTTTTTTCTTGTTTTCCTCCCCAAAAGCTAGGTGTGTCTTCCAAGCGTCTTATACTCCAAAAAATACAGTATATCTCATTCTTCATAAGCTACTTTACATCATGATACCTTTTTGTGGTGATATCTGTAGCATTCCTCACAAGATAGCTTGATTATGATAGCAATAGCAGTTAGATTTATATACTGCTCCATGGTGTCCCCAGACATTTGGGGTTCTCAGTTTACCAACCTTGGAAGGATAGAAGGTGATTTGAATTTGAGCCAGTCAGGATTGAACTGGCTGTGAGCAGAGTTAGCCTGCAATACTGCATCCTAATCCCTGTGCCACCCTGTCTCCTTGGTGTATGATTAGTGTACCTCAGTTGCTAGTCCTCTGATGAATCAGATTTAAGACTTTTAGTGTGTGACTTAACTGAATAGAAATTAAATTTAGATGTCACCATCTCAAAATGTTACAAACACCTATCTCCGTTGATGTGCCATATTGGCCCAATCAGATGAATTAGAGCTTCATGAAACAATTGAACCTCCAATTAGAAACCTTGCTTATGTTTTTCCATTAGAACCTGTTACAGAATAGTAGAGATGGGGCCATCAATGTATCTTTTTCTCTGTCCTGAAACTCCCTTACTTGGTTAGAGTTTATATGCATTATTAGGGTCCATAGATGGCAATGTAACTCTTTATTGTAGTCATCCGCTTAATTTAAAAAGAATATTTACAGTAACTTATATAGTGTACTATTTTATTAATACAGGTCCCATTCTCCACATGTAATAATATACAGGTACTCCTTGAGTTACAACACTCACAGAGTCTGCCCATCACTATCAACAGTTGAGATAAACATTAAATGAACCACATCATTAATCACCCCCCCCACATCCCTATTCTCCCCATTGCATTTGTTAAATGAATGTGTGGGTCGTTAAGTAGAGCATTCAGTGACTCAGGTGGAAAAGACTGAGGCACCTAGTACAGGCACAGGCTACCTGCATTGAGCCTCCCAAAGCTTCTCACCTTCTGAGATATCCCAGCTTTGCTTCCTGACCCATGGGCATTCCTATCCCACTATGTCATAATTGCACACTTATCTTTTGAAAATACTCACAGCTCAGGAAGTTCAAGAGTAGAGAAGGCCACTTCATTGCTGGGCCATGTGGCACAACTAATAAGAAATCCTTTCCATTTTGCTTTCCTGCTATGCTCTGCTTTTCCAGCTTTATGCCAGCATTAGTAACCCCATAGAAGGTGAGAAAGTAAAACTGCCAGTATTTTTTCTTGATTGTGCCACGTGGCCCAGCAGTGGACTGGCTTTCCCAGTCTGACTTCCTGAGCTCTGGATATCTGATATGATGCTAGTCATTAAATGCCCTATCATACCTTGAGAACTGCCTATAAGTCTCTACTAGTACTCACCTTGGTGCTTAAAAATATGCCTTTCTATGAATATACAAGGAGATCCAAACTAGCTATGTGAGATCCAAATAAGCACCTGGATTTGCCTAATAGTTACATACAGATAGTCCCCAAATCACAACTATTCAAATAACACTGTTTGAAGTTATAACAGTGATGAAAAAAAGTGACTTATGACCGGTCCCCCATTTATAATTTTTGTAGTAACCTTACAGTCATTTGGTCAAAATTTAGACACTTGTCAACGTGTATGGTGGTTGCAGTGTCTCAGGTTCATGTGATTGCCATTTGCGACCTTCCCTGCCAGCTTCCAGCAAGCAAAGACAATGGGGAAAGCGGAATTCATTTAACAATCGGGAAACAACTGTGGCAAAAAAAAGTTCTAAAATTGCATATGATTCAATAACTGCATCACTTAGTTCAATTAGACCCATTGTGATTGTAAGTTGAGAAGTGCCTGTATCTGCATTTGCTTTTGAATCTTCAGTATCAAGTTGTTAGCCATTTGTTTTTAGGGTTCATGCCCTAGTTCATTTCAGATACAAAAGTTGAAGTTCTTTGTGAGGGTCTTTTTTTTTAAAGTAAGTTCACTTCCTAAAATAAATCTGACACGGGCTTTATATTTGGTAATGGAATTGAATTGGGAGTTTTTTGGGGAACCTTCTATTCAGAAGCAAGACGAATTACCCACCTGAAGTGATCTCCCTTTGGTCTCTATTGGTAGAGTGAACGCAGAGATAGCACACACAATGCAAACCAAGGCAAAAAGGCACAGTGCCCCCATGAAAGAAGCATTCATAAGTACCTACAATTAGATAATGTATTAGTGCCATGCTGTCATGCAATTCTGACAATTCATCTGTAAATCCTTTCTGGCCTATTTATTTTATGGATTGAACTGTCTTTCAATAGAATTATCTTTCCATGAACTGAACATATATGGAGGAAGCTAGCATGGAATTGCAATGCCAAACTTTTCTTATAGACAAAACAGAGGTGGAGAGTGCATACAGTTAATGAAAGTTTATTCATGGGGGATTGTGGAGAGAAGGAAACTTGCTATCATAATGTTGCAGATATACGTAGGAATAAATTATAGCTTTAAAAAATTCATTCAGGAAAATACAAGGCAATTGCTTTAATTTAAGTAAAATATTACATGATTCATTTCCTCCACACAAAGCATTATGGGATTTACAAAGTCTCTAGCTAAAGAAAGGAAAAGTTTCAACATCTTTTTTCATTTCTTTTAAATGATATTGTACCTGGCTTTTAATTATGTTATAAGCTGCTTTAAGCATTGTGCTAGAGTAGAAAAGGAGATTATACATTTTCAGAAAGTAATATTAAATTTATAATGGCCCTTTCATTTGTCACGGCACAAGCTTTTGTGAACTATATCATATTGCATCAGTTGAAATTTTTAGAGTAGTTCACTGTCTTATGAATTCATTTATTTCTCTTATTAATTCAACAACCTATAGAAATTCATCACTTTTAGTTCTGTTGATTTCATTGGAAGAGTTCAAGGATTTCATTTTTCTCCACTAAAATAAAGATGAGCTAGAATCACTTTTCTATTAGTGAGTTAATATCAAGTTCTTTATTAAGAAAGTATACTTTATAATAAAATATATAATGGTTTTTTAAATCAGCAAATGTAATTAATCTTTTTCCCTAACTTCTTGCAGCATAATTACTGAAGTCTCTTATTCTGTTGCATTCTGAATTATTGCTACATTTATTCATATTGTGCCTTCTAAGCTTCAGTAAATGAATTGTTCCTGTTTTAAGTTTTTCTTGTAATTAAGATTTTTAAACAAACTTGTCCTTTCATTTTTAAATGTTTATCATCTTTTTCCTTTATTGTACCATAGCTAAAACAGGATTCTGCATTTTGAATATATTAGTATCAATTTAGCTTGCCTGATGTCCCTTTCCTCCAAACATTCTGAAAAGAAATAATAAACTTATAAAAAACACCTTTTCTACTCTAGCACAATGCTTAAAGCAGCTTATAACATAATTAAAAGCCAGGTACAATATCATTTAAAAGAAATGAAAAAAGATGTTGAATCTTACAAATCTGAATCTTTAAACATCAGTCAATCTATATAGTCTACTAAAAATACCTGCCTGGAATCTGTTCCTACTGCTATATATGCAGTGAAATTCTTAAACAAAAGATGTCTTACTTGTGCTATAAAAGGTGCTACCATAGCACCTATACGGCATAGGGAGCCACTGGTCCCTAATCCCATGGCTCTCATGGTGGTAGGATAAACCTATAAGACAGTAGTGAAAATATGTGAGAATAATCTCTGACAGAAAAAGTATTGGATGAAGCAGATATGAGGCCCAGAGAGAGGGAAAATACCTAAACCTTTTACAGAATTTAGGTTATTTTATGCCTAAAGATAATCCCATAGTTTTGTTGAAATCAGTTAGTTTCCTGGGACCAAAATATTTTATTACCAATCCTCTAAATTCGATTCCAGTGCAGTACTAGAGTACAAAACATAAGCCTTCATTTTTAAGAACAAATGAATGAAATTACTAAAGTTTAGAGAGAGACTGAATTCTTAAAAAAAACTTTTTTAAAAAATCCAATACAGTAAAATGTTAAAAAGTCACGTTTGAAAACAAGCATAAAACTCCTACTAAATTATAGGTGTTAACATATGGTTCCTGTCTATTCTGGCTTAGGTTGAAATGCCATATTTATTTTATGTGGAATTAAATAATAAACTTGGTCAGATTTCTGAGTAAGCTGGCCAAAGAGTACCTGTTGAGTAGAAAAGTTAAAAAAAGAGCTTGTTCAGAAACATAATTTAGATAGTTTTTCAGTTTGCAATTCAAGAAATCAGAAGGACCTTACCTCCGCTGTGTAAATATAGATAGTATTGAAATTTGCAGCCACAAAAGCCCGCAGCATAAAGAGGAAACCAATAAGACCAGTACTAGATAGAAAAATAAAGAGAAAAGTTATGAAGAAAATAATATAACAAAGCCCAATAGTTTACTGGTGTGTTCCACTGATGTAACCTTGAATGTTTGAATGGTTACTGAAGGAAAAAGATTATATGTAATGCAAGGAGAACATGTTCCTATAAAAATTAGTTCTGTAATATAAACTATTAATAGTATATATAATATAAATATAAATAAACTAACAAATAGTAAAATATAAACAGAAAATTGCAGGTGGCCACTTAACATCGTTTACAGGTAAGTAACCAGTTCTTAACTATTCTGAATTTCTGTCATTTAGCTTTGTTGTTGATCCCAAAATGTCTTATCCATGAGATAATGCTATATATTCTGTTTTTGCTCCGGTCATAGGATTGGGATCATGTAGGAAGCACCTGTCAACTCATAAAATGATAGTACCATGAAAAGTCTCCATGTATTTTTTTGAGCAAGAAATTTTCTTTTGTAGACTCAATTAATTTGACTTTTACAATGCTTCTCCACTAATTTACCTGAAAAACAAGTTTTTTTAAAAAAAGGTCCTGACATCCTTTCTAAAAATTGTTCTCTGTTCAATTTTAATTTCCTATCAGCCAAATTCTAATCAAATAGAATTATATGGGAGAAGATTTTTTTCAACAGAAAATACTCTAATGCATCTGAATTATTTATACACCAATGTATTATTTCTATTCAATAAGCCATTGTCTAAATACTGTTACTTGACAATAAATCCCTGACCTTTCTCTTTGGAAGTAATAGTTGTTGTCATATATAGTGACACTATGATTACATATGCCCAGCATGCTTAACTTGATTGGTGATTGATTAGTATATTTAACCATATCCTAAAAACATAAGAGGATATTCTCTTTCACCTTATGAAGAAAACAGAAAATTGTAAGACTTCTTTAATAAATTTTATTTGCCTTTGAGATCTTAAATATCAAGCTTCAAAGTCTTATAATTATCTTGGTTTTACTCAAAAACAGATTCTAATGAATTAATTGGAAGACTCCAACCAGTATAACATTAATAAAGGTTTTTAAAAATCTCACACTGTACAAACCCAGCCCTAAAACTTTGGCCTGCCTAAGTGTGTTGTATGATCACCATGTTTGCATGTGAAGGCCAACATAATTGAAGGGGAAAAGAAAAAAATGGTTCAGTATTATTGTGTGCTCAGTCAAGTTTTTCTTGGGGTTCTTGATCAAGTAGATTTGCTGGTAAATTTGATATGATGCAAATCCCTCAGATTCATTTTTAGAATATGTTGGGAAATAATTTTAAAAAGCATATATTAGTGCAAAAGTAGCCACCTGAACAAAATTCATGCATTCCACACCAGGTTTACCATTAGCATTAGTAACAGACAGCCTTTGAAATAATAACTATCTATCTAAAGTGTCAGAAGGATAGCCACATGCATAATGGAAGATCTTTCAAGAACATAGCAGATATGAACACCTAAAACAAGGCATAGCCTAAATGCATTGCTATATTTTTAGAGCAGAGTAAGTGTAAAGACAAACTACTGGGCATTTGGTGCAAATCTGGGACATTTAACAAAATGGGATGAATAGCTAAAATATCAGTGAGAAATTGTAAATATTTGGTAAAGTTAATATTTAATAGGTTATGACCTTGCTCAACTTGTATCAGCAAGAAGTGTGAAACACTTGGGGGAGATGGGTGGTCTAGAAACATGAATTATAGATAAATAACTAAATAAATTATGATCAACTAGTAAATAATCAGTAAAGTTATGCAGTCCCACACATCTGGAGAGCACTAGGCTTGGATATGCTGAGGGGAGCCTCATCTACAAGTGCAGGAAGGGTAAGTCATATTCTGTAACTTGCTGAGAAGATATTAGATAAGATGGGCATTTTATGGCCCACAGGCCACATTCAAGATTGTGGCTGTCTCTGGCTGGCTGGCTGGGGTTGGGGTGGCAGAGTGGCCATCCACAATGGTTCCAGTTTTTCATGTGGCCCCTTGTGAAAATTAATTATTTACCCGATCTGCATTACAATAAATAGAAGCCACATATTGACTGAGGACTGAACTTTAGCAGCTACCAATTCAATAGCCTTGGCAAAATTACAGTTTTACACATACACACGTGTATTTGAACACATGTCCAAGCCATTAGGTTCATTGAAATATATTATTTGACTTCTTATAACATCAGCACATACATTGATGATTTCTATCAGATGCAAAGATTGGCTGACCATCATATATGTTAACACATAAAACCTCTGAAAAATCAATACATTTCAGGCAGGAAATCTGTCAATTCCTTTTTTTTCTTTTGTTCATGGAGAGGTTCATTTTAAATTTATACAGTAGGGTAGGCATAAAATATGATAAAACCTTGGCAATTAATTACTCTGTCCAGACTGGCATTCAAAAACATTCTCTGTTGGTACCAACTCCCTTTATTGCTACAGGCTAATGTGAAGATCAACATAATTATCCATTTACATAATGTCTGTTGTTTGGGGAAAACCCTCAGTTTATACTAAATCAAACATCTGCTTCTGTCAGTTGCTCTGACTGTTATGGATTGACAATCCAGATAGGAAAGAGGGAAACTTTACCAATGTAAGTGTAATCAACTAGAACTTTCCAACAAATTTGCATCAGAGAGAAACAGACTAGTCCTTATTTATTTTAGAGATATAAAATTATGGTCACTACATTTAACCTACTACCATGTTCCTTTTCTTCTGCATCAAACAGTTGATCATAGGGCATCTGAGTAGGGACCTTGTATTTTGGATTTTGTCTTGGAGCTCCTGGGAAACTCACAAAGATAGTCCTCTTTCCCTGGTGTTCTCTAGTATGTTTCCTCTGAACTTTGGGGATATCATAACTCATTATGTTTGTGTAGTAGCAATTTATTCCAAAAACTGAATACAGTTCTGCCTTCATCTTTTGAATATTCCCAAATGCATAATTCCTGCCTGTAATAAATGTTTTATTAAGCCAAACTATTTTAATTTTTAAGCACTCGATGAATCATCATGTCCATTTCCTGAAATATGGTTAACCATGCCAGATGCTAGAAGCTGTGGCAAACATTGGAATCCAAGCCATTTAATCATAATATGCTCCCACCCAAGCTACTTACATTGTGGTGCATATATTGAGGAGAAGAAAGAAAACAGCAGTGCATCCCATTGTTATTGTCAAGCTCACTCGTCTTCCCAGGAAATTGATGCCAAGAATATTTAAGGGATTTACTATTTTAAAAAAGGAAAAGAAGGAGAAAAAGATGTCACATTGTAAACTTAAATTAACTGAATCATTACTGCATAATTATCACACATGCATACATACACATACACCCCTACTACCTCAGGGAAGTCTCTTGACAACTATTTTCTTCATTGCTTCCTTACGATTACTTGAAAACTACAGATGGGGACTTTGTAACAGAACTTCCCATCAGCATCTTGTTTGTTTCTCAACCTTGGTAACCTAAAAATGTATGAACTTCAAGAGCTGAAATTAGTGAGATTAAGGGCTGTTCTTACATTCCTAAATTAATTAATACATTAATGAAAGCAGCTGACAACAGCAAGTGAACTGTTTTTCATGCAGAATTCCTAAATTTTCATTTGTGTATGTCTATACCTGTCTGAAACTCTGTGTGTATGCGTGTATCTTGTTGTGAGAGGTAACTTTGGAGTCTCTCCCATTCACGCTTACTTTAAATAAAGGCAGAAAGTGGGGTGGGGGGTGGAATTACATGCAATTTCTCCTACTGTGCTGATGAACATGATCTGGTAATCAGATGGTGCAAAGGTATGGCAAAGACAAGGGCTCTGAAACTCCTCCTGAGTATGGCCTAGCTCTGCCTCTACAGCTGATCCTCCTCCTCTTGAACAAACTAGATCCTTCTCCAGTAATTCTGCACTGGCCAGGATGACACCATAATAAGCAAAAGAAATTCCAAGCCTGTCATAGAAAACAAAAGGGGTTAGTAATGGGGTGGAAATCATTCTTTAGAATATTTTCTAAAAATAATAAGGTACATCTACAGGGTACATTTGATAGTCCCAAATAGAACAAGAAAAGGCTTCATGGCAGCATTCAAATTAATTAACAGCACACCAAACTGTTAGGGGATTGGTAAATACTATTAATTACCCATACAATTCCCAGTATGCAAGGATGAAGAAAACGTTTGCTACTGAATTAAGCAATTCAAATAATCCTTTTGTACACTTGGACTAAATAGTTCAACTTCTCATAATTTAAATTGTTTTAAAATTTTGCACTGATCCAAATTCCAGGGTAGAAGAGCAATGCAATAATTGTAAATGTGTTACCTCTTCTTGTTTTTTGCACTTTAAGGTGTCAAGTGAATTAGGTACAGATCAAATTTTAACTGGCTAGAAGATCCAAATTACATATCTGCCTATGTTACATAGTGACTTATCTGTATTTCTGCTTATAAGCCTACATTTTCAGATTCAGAAGAAGATATCCCAGCTAATGCTTGTATATTTTCTACCACAGGGTTTCAATTTTATTGCACAATCTGGAATATATGTTTCTATTGACAAGAGTATATTGGCATATGAATGTGATACTGCATATACTGAGTTTTATTCATTGATACTTTTCTAATTCCCTCAATTGCTTAAACAATTAAAAAACTCAATGCATGACACTAACTTCAAGAACATTAAGAGATTTTATATAATAATGCAGGGCAGAGATCAAGTGAATATGTGCATTCATCCATATGTTTAAACAGTTCAGTACATTGTGTCAGGTAAATTAAGGTGGATTGACTAATATCTTAGTTATAAGACTATAGTCACATAATTTTCTTGCCTATTTTGCTTTTATTTTATTTTCAGATTTTTTTTTCATTCCATTCAATCATGTACAATTATCAGACACTGCCTAAACAAGTCTCTGCAGTTTTTTTTGGCAAGGTTTTTCAGAAGTGGTTTGTCATTGCCTCCTTCCTAGGGTTTAAAGAAAAGACTAGTCTGATGCCTTTAACTACTACACAAAACTATTTTTTTATTCAGATATTCATTTCCAAATTGGAAGAAAGAATAAAACAAAATATATTAACTGCATCTAAGAATGCATGTGGAAGCTTTGTGATCTGGTGCTATTCCGATGTGCTGGGAGCAATAATTCCCAAAACTCCTAGTCAGCATACCATGAGTGTAAACAACAGCTATTGCCAAATTTTGTTGATTAGAGTTTATATTTCAATATGTCAAATGAAGAATGCCTGGCTGGAGAAGGCCAATGCAGAACATCCTACACAGAATCGAATGAATGTAAGCTAAATTACTATAATATTTGCTTGGTATTCTGATTAGCTTCTGAATAGTAATTTTTATACTTAAGATAATCAGAGTTGGGAGCTATAATAAATTTAAAGACAAAAGAAAACTACATTTTCTCTTTAACATTTATTAATTTTATTTTGTTCACTATAGTTTGAAAGAAGAAAGTCATATGAATTTACCATATAATCCATATTTGCAAAGATGTCCGTAAGTATTTGGGATCAAATAGGTCTTTGAATCTACCTCGTTTTTCCTAGAAATATGTTAAAGGAACAGTCAGAAATACACTGAATATTTGTTGCTGAAATGCTGAAGAGACATCCCAAGCTTTGAAACCCTTTATGAATTATAATCTAACTTTTCAGTTCATAACTCCTGGTAGCCCCAGAAAAAATAGGCAAGATAAAATTCAGAAACATCTGGAAGGCCACATATTGGACACCCAGGAGTTGACTACAATGTTCACTTTGTTTCATGACAGATTGCACAATACATACTACTATTGTATCATACATTGTCCAACAATGGACTATAAGGAAAGAAGAATTGGACCAATAGTGGCTTCTTGTCTTTTGTAATGTCTAGTAAGTTAAATTCCATTGATGTGAACAGATAGTTAAACATTGTTGCTGTACTTTATGGACTTTAACTACTTTATTTAAGGAGACTTTACCTTTTTAGGTGTTCAAGTCTGATAGTTTAACACAGTGTTTCTCACCTTGGCAGTTTGAAAATGTGTGGACTATGCTGGCTAGGGAATTCTGGGAGTTAAAGGCCACATGTCTTCAAACTGCCAAGATTGAGAAACACTGATTTAATGGATGGATAGTCAGCCGATGGATAGTTTAATAATGGGAATTAGTTCTGCACCTCATGGTTTCAGGAAGGAGGTTAACAAAAATAGTGAAAAACTTACTTCAACAGTTTCTACCAACTTTCCTTCAGGGATAACAGAATGGTTCATTTTAGCAATCCATTTGAGAGTAGCAAGGGCTGCTTTATCATTTCCAGAAGATACGTTATATCGAGCAGACTCTGGGATAAACTGCAAAATACAAATGAGTTAGATAAACAAGCACCAACATTTCCAGTGTACCATCAATCTTATAGTCTTATTGTAATAAAGGCTGGATTCGATGCAGTATCTCTTTTAATATTATAGCATTCAGATCAATATGATGATTCACTGCAGAGCAATTCGTGCAGTGCTTTCTGTCCACCCAAGCCATTTTCAGAAAGTCTATCAGAAAGTAATAGAATGTGCTAATCCACAAATTACAATTATAACTGGAAACAATTCCAATAAACCCCAAAGATAAATGAATACTGGTGCTTATATATGCAATTACAAGTCTACACATTTATCTGAATAAAATGTGTGTCCAAACAGAATGGAAGCATAAATGTTTTGTATGACTTAGCCCAGAGAATAATGTAAAATAGACTGTTTCTTAGCTAGAAGTTTACTGCAACCAGCCAATGTGATACAATTGGGATTCTTGGCTTTGAAGCCTACATCTTGGTTCCTTGGTTCCCATCTAACTACACTGCTCAAAAAAATAAAGGGAACACTTAAACAACACAATATAACTCCAAGTCAATCACACTTCTGTGAAATCAAACTGTCCACTTAGGTAGCAACACTGATTGACAGTGAATTTCACATGCTGTTGTGCAAATGGAATAGACAACAGGTGGAAAGCATAGGCAGGTAACAAGACATCCCCAATAAAGGAGTGGTTCTGCAGGTGGTGACCACAGACCACTTCTCAGTTCCTATGCTTTCTGGCTGATGATTTGGTCACTTTTGAATGCTGGCGGTGCTTTCACTCTAGTGGTAGCATGAGATGAAGTCTACAGTGGCTCAGGTAGTGCAGCGAATCCAGGATGGCACATCAATGCGAGCTGTGGCCAGGTTTGCTGTGTCTGTCAGCGTAGTATCCAGAGCATGGAGGCGCTACCAGGAGACTGGCCAATACATCAGGAGACGTGGAGGAGGCCGTAGGAGGGCAACAACCCAGCATCAGGACCGCTACCTCCGCCTTTGTGCAAGGAGGGACAGGAGGAGCACTGCCAGAGCCTTGCAAAATGACCTCCAGCGGGCCACAAATGTGCATGTGGCTACTCAAACAGTCAGAAACAGACTCCATGAGGGTGGTATGAGGGTCCAATGTCCACTGGTGGGGGTTGTGCTTACAGCCCAACACCGTGCAGGATGTTTGGCATTTGCCAGAGAACGCCAAGATTGGCAAATTCGCCACTGGCTCCCTGTGCTCTTCACAGATGAAAGCAGGTTCACACTGAGCACATGTGACAGACGTGACAGGGTCTGGAGATGCCGTGGAGAATATTCTGCCACATGCAACATCCTCCAACATGACCGGTTTGGCAGTGGGTCAGTAATGGTGTGGGGTGGCATTTCTTTAGGGGGCCGCACAGCCCTCCATGTGCTCGCCAGAGGTAGCCTGACTGGAGTGGCTGGAGTGTGTCAGCAGTTCCTGCAAGACGAAGGCATTGATGCTATGGACTGGCCTGCCCGTTCCCCAGACCTGAATCCATTTGAGCACATCTGGGACATCATGTCTTGCTCCATCCACCAATGCCATGTTGCACCACAGACTGTCCAGGAATTGGGGGATGCTTTAGTCCAGGTGTGGGAGGAGATCCCTCAGGAGACCATCTGCAACCTCATCAAGAGCATTCCCAGGCATTGTAGGGAGGTCATACAGGCACGTGGAGGCCACACACACTACTGAGCCTCATTTTGACTTGTTTTAAGGACATTATATCAAAGTTGGATCAGCTTGTAGTGTTTTTTTCCACTTTAATTTTGAGTGTAACTTCAAATCCAGACCTCCATGGGTTGCTAAATTTGATTTCCATTGATAATTTTTGTATGATTCTGTTGTCAGCACATTCAACTATGTAATGAACAAAGTATTTCATAAGAATATTTCATTCATTCAGATCTAGGATGTCTTATTTTTGTGTTCCCTTTATTTTTTTGAGCAGTGTATAAGGGAACTTTCCCTCACTTGTAGGTTAAGTTGGTATCAGAGCAACCTTTGCAATACCTGTGAATTCCTGTATCACCCAATACTGGATTTAGCTTTTCTTAAACTCCCAATGTTAAAATTTTAGGCAAATTCTTCTAGTTGCAGAAAATAAATAATTTTCTTGCTTAAATCAAATCATCAGGGTACTGCCTCAGCAATGAAATGTCCTCAAACATGCAAACAAACAACCCCTTGAAGCGTTTATGGGAAAGGTGGATCAAGGGTGTGGTTGAATGTGGCCAGGAAAATGGAAATATGCAGTCTGCCTTTTTTCTTAAGACCCAATACAGCAGGATATATCAGATTATGATATATGAGATTGCCCGGACAGCAATTACTTGCTTCAGAATATTGGCCGTCAATCCATTAAGAGGCTATGTTTGATTTGCAGTATGCGTATAGGATTGAGATTACAACTGATTTTTGAATCATCCAATTTACAACAGTTAATTTGATGTACTGGTTAAGGCACCAAGTTAGAAACTGGGAAATTGTAAGTCCTAGTCCTGTATGAGGGACAAAGCCATTTGGGTGATCTTGGGCCAGTCACTTTTTCTCATCCCTAGAAAGCAGTCAATGAAAAATCACTGCCAAGAAAACTGTAGAGACTGGTCCAGGCAACCACCAGGAGTTAAGACTGATTTGATGTTAGAAACAATTTATGGCAACATTTTTTGTTATGACAGTTGTCTTCAAAATTGCAGGAGTTCCACACAAGACAGCTTGGGAAACTTGGGAGCATTTCAAGGCTTTTGTTTACATAATTTATAATTTAGTCTTCTGTCACCTCACATCTTGTTCTAGAAAAATCTTTGGATTTTGAGAAAGCCCAGATATGTTTACTAGAAATAGCTCTAGATATTTTCTTTCCTTTTTTTAGAATACATTTTTCTTTGTTATTTCTGACTGATTTCATTTCTAACTTTTTATTAGAAACAAGATGTTCCTACATTACTTCATCAACTGATTGGAAAATTACTAAGAAAATTTCAATCAATCAATCAAAAAACATTTCAAATGAAAGGATTGGGATATAAAATCTGCTTCTGTATCCAAATAAGTTTCAGATATGAAGTTACCTCTGGTCTCTGTTTTATGATAGCCCCATCCTCTTTAAGAGATTCAAGCTAAGCATGTACAACATTGCTCTCTGTATCACAAACTAAAGTCTATTGAATTTGACAGATGAGTATGGTTGAGCATTTTGCATGGTATAAATTGATAAAAATGTTAATAATTAGCCAGGATCAATGAATTTCTTTACAAACACATACATACCCACACACCCCTCTACCTAACTCTCTATATATGCAAATCTTTCAGACCTTAAATGCAAGGAGAAGTAGAATGCCAGGAATAGAAGCAATTCGGATCAGCCACCGCCACCCAAGAGTTGAGTTAACAACTGATGCCAGTCCAATAATTAATAAGGAGCCTGACAACCAAAATACCTGTGAAATGAAAAATAAAAAGGATAGATTAGGAGACAATGAGGTTCTGTACATCTGTACATTCTTTCAACATCCACATCTTTCTTCACATTGTGTTGCTGCACAAAACATGATTAAAATATTGAGGTAAGCATTCCCACATTTGATTTTTGGGATACCAGTACAAATTTTGATAAAATAAGCAAAATGGTTATCAACTTGAATTTTGAAGCTTGAACATAAGCTGTCAATCTTTCTCAGAATGTAATGTATAAACATTTCAACATAGAATAAACTTTTGCAGCTGCAGAAATAAGAACAGAATGCATATTTCACAGACTGAAGTATAAATTTATAGAGTTAAAAACACATGGATTTTCCCAAATACATTTAACAAGTTTATTTAATGATAGTCCTAACTTCATTCCACTTGCTTGTGCTAGAATGAAATCAATAAATCAATTATTCATCGTAAGAAAAATTAATACTGAAAAAAGGAGTAAACATTTCCAATTCCTTTGATTGGGATAAAAAAAAACTGTGTCAGGCATAATGGACTTTCAGCAGAACCCTAAGCCGTATCAACAGCCACTTTGGAGAGTTCATGCTGTTCAAAAGTAGATGATCTAAGTCCTGTGACATATAGCAGATGGAGATGTCTGAGAAAGTTCTGTATATCCCAGATTTTATTTATTTCAGACTGTGTATTCCATACAGGTAGTCTTCAGCTTACAGCCACAATTGAACCCAAAATTTCTGATGCTAAGCAAGGCAGTTAAGTCAGTTTTGCCTAATTTTATGGCCTTTTTTGCCACAGTTGTTAAATGAATCACTGCATTGTTAAATGAATCATGAGATCACTGAGCAAACCTGGCTTCTTCCCACATTGACTTTTTGTCAAAAACTGACTGGGAAGGTCACAAATGGTGATCACATGACCCAGGTAGTGCAACTGTCATAAATACATGTCAGTTGCAAGCCCCCAGATTTTGATCATGTGACCATGGGGATGTTGCAGTGGTGGCAAGTATGGAAAACAATCACAAGTCACTTTTTTCAGTGCCATTGTAACTTCAAACAGTCACTAAACAAATGATTGTAAGTTGAGGACTACTTTTACTTTTCTATCATGAAAAACTTCTAAGGCAGCTTAAGAAATCTGAAACCATTATAATTCAGTAGTGATATCTCCCACCAACGCCACTTTTTAAAAATAACAAGAGCCAAGGTGGCACAGTGCAGTACTGCAGGCTAGTTCTGCTGCCTGCCAGCTGCCTGCAATTTGGCAGTTCAAATCTCAACAGGCTCAAAGTTAACTTAGCCTTCCATCCTTCTGAGGTGGGTAAAATGAGGAGCCAGATTGTTGGGGAAATATGCCGACTCTATAAACCGCTTAGAGAGGGATGTAAAGCACTGTGAAGTGGTACATAAATCTATGTGCTATTGCTATTTATTTTGAGTTGAGCTCTATCCCTCCAGCCCATGTTGATTTTCTTGGCACAAACTCTCTCTCTCATTCTCTCTTCCTCCTTAGGAACTTTTATTTCTTCTACTTTGCTTCACACAATACCATAGAGTAGAGCATCATGAGTATCAGATATGGATTGCTCTGTTTTTATTTGTCTTCAAGGAGCAGCTGGTTTACTCTTCATTCAGAAGGGATTATCTAGGGCAGGGATCTCCAAACTTGGCAACTTTAAAACTTGCGGACTTCAAGCATGGTTGGCTGGGGAATTCTGGGAGTTGAAGTCCACAAGTCTTAAAGTTGCCAAGTTTGATCCAGGGAAAAAAAACATGCTGATCCAGGGAAAAAAAACATGCTGCTTTTGGAAGTGTCATCACTTGAAGTTATCATCAGTTGAGGCCAGTTATACATTTTCCCCCTACAAATTCATCTTTCTTGGAAAACTGTTCAATTTGTTAGCTATCCCTACAACATCTGGCCACAAATGCCATCACTGTAATTGTCCATTGGATGAAGAGGCACTTTATCTGTCCTGAATCTCTTATTATTTAGTTTCATTGGCTGACCATGACATCTTGGATATAAGAAAAATAAAAGAAAATTATCCACATATAATTGCACAGATCTTTGCTTCTTATTAAACTTTTTTCCTATTTAAAAACTCTAAATGTTTTAATCCTTCCTAATAAGATAATCATCCAGTCTTTTGAACAATATATTGCTCAAGAAGAATTAGTATCTGGGTGTCATGGTACAGAAAGCCCTTTTCTGATGATTGCCAGCTATACCCTGATCCCCCAGCCATAGATGGGTACTACTCTGTAAAAATACATTCTACTTTTGATTCAATCAGAAAACCTTAGTACATAAATGGGATCTTTATTTAACATAATTGTCAAAATGTTAAACATGTTGATAGCTGGCCTCCACATGGCATCTCTGAGAGCAGCTATGTCCACAAATTTCTCTGCAGTTATGTAGATATTGTATTCACACACCCAGAAGTATGGTTTGTTGGTATAAATAGTGATATATAGATATTGATACATGATTCATTTCTTAGCAAATAGATTTCTGGTTTACCTGTGATAAAGGCAAAATATAACCACGGTATTTTGTGGGTAAAAATTCTGTTTTTATTATAAGCCTAAAAAAAAATAAGGTAAGAAAATTATGGAAAGAGAAAGAAATGTATTAATTAGGTTCAAATACTTCCAGGTTGGTTTTACTGAGAGTTTGTTGAAGTAGCCATAATGGCTGGATTCACACAAAGTACCCAATCAATCTAATTTCACCTTACCTCACCTCATCTCAACCAAACCAAACCAAACCAACCCTTCACTGTTTATTTTTAATTGCAACATTCATCAATTCTAACTAAATTGTTTTACTTTAGGCTTAAACTTAGAACTTGGTAGAGGAAGAGATATATCATAATTTGCCCTGGAAGATTATAGACGTTATATGTAATGTGCTGTTTGAACAAATCCCATAGTACTTCTGGACTTTTGATCCTATGGTAAAATATGCATGCATTAAAAACATCTGAATGTTCACAACATCACATGAGAATGCTGATGCTTGTCCTATTATTGTTTCAGAGGTGGCATTCAGCAGGTTCTGACCAGTTCTGGAGAACCGGTAGCAGAAATTTTGAGTAGTTCGGAGAACTGGCAAATGCCACCTCTGACTGGCCCCACCCCCATTTATTCTCTGCCTCCTGAATCCCAGCTGATCGGCTGGGTCTTCTTTTGTTGCCCTGCAAAGGAGAACGGAGCTGGAAAGCAGGTTAGTGGGGTGGGGAGGGAATGGGAATTTTGCAGTGTCCATGCCCTGCCACACCCACCAAGCCATGCCCACAGAACCAGTAGCAAAATTTTTTGAATCCCACCACTGTATTGTTTGCATTATGACGTTACCCTTGTGAATGACCTGCTACGCCACATCCTACGAGGGCTCGGAGAAAGACAAACCAGATGTACGAAGGAGCAAACGATGTCAGCAAAGAGAAATAGGCTCCCCATGCAAAAGAGATGCATAAAACCTGCGAGACAATTCATAGACAGGAAGACATTGACTTCAAAGCAACATTCAGCACTGTATGATATTTATCTCAAGTTTTCATTTTGGATGAGTTCTGAAGATTCCAGCTAGTAAAAAAGAAAAACTTTAATTAACCTTGCAATGAAATACATATTTCTTGAATGTGTGTCACTATATTGCATATAGCTTCCAGATAAAATGCATAAAATATGATGTTCACCTACTTTAGTGAACTTAAGTTTAAAGAAAATTAAATTGATAATTTATTATTATTATTATTATTATTATTATTATTATTATTATTATTATTATTATTATTATTAT